AAGAGGCTGGATCATAATAAACGCTGCAGTCACAGACCCAAATACACACACACACACACACACACACACACACACACACACACACACACACACACACACACACACACACACACACATACACGTTTTTGTTACCTGGTGGGTCCCTTTGACAGGGCCGTTCAGAATGGGACCCATAGACATAATCTTTTTTTACCAAGACTTTAAGTAATACAAAACAGTCAATAGAAACCAAACAACTATTTTAAAGGAATTTTATTTTAGATTTTGTTTTCGAATTGCAGTGATTCTATTTTTGACATAGAATTTAATGCCACTCCATGTCCGATGTCTAAGGTCATCTGGTGAGGCATTAATGCAGGCCAGGCAGTGAGACTTCCCAGGGACCTTTCCAGTCTGTATGAAAGGTGTCATGGTCTTCTCCACAGCCTTCACCTCAGATGCAGACCATGGCTTTCTTACACGTTCTAGGGAGAGAAATAAAAATATATTAGCAATATACACTCCCAGGGTGAGGACCAAGCAGCCTGGCTGTAATCCCCCACCTGGTACACTTACCAGAAGGGGCACTGCCACTACCATGGGGTGCATCTGGAAGGTTCTCCGCTTGAAGTTTCTTTTAGCCCGTCCGTTTGTGAGAGGATCTCTACTGCTCTCCCTGTCGCACAGAAAATAAAAATACAAGTGGCCTTTAGGGGAAAAAAATCATACATATTTTAATAATATCAAGAATTACCTTCAGGCTCAATTTGTATCTGGTCGAGGCTCTTTCCTTCGAATTCCGTCACTCTTCCCTGCTCCATGGCCATCAACACTTTGCTGATTTTGGCCAGCTCCAGTGTCCCCTCTGGTAGTCTGTAATATTGCCTGTGGATGCGAATGTCATGGCCGAGGAAGTTGGCAAGTATGTCCATCTCATTCTTTTCATATTGAGAACTGTAGACATAGTAGCTATGTGCTTTCTAAGTTTGGTTGAGGATAGCATCTCTGGATGCACCGCACCACATTCTTTGGCTACCTGGCGTAGGGAGTCTGATCCCCTGATGTGGGTGTCTGCGCCCGGGCGGGAAAAGAAGTATGGGTTATGGTCAGAGATGGAACAGGCCCTTCTGTTCTCCACCAGCACCTCCATCGAAGCAATCATTTCAGGAGTCAAAAGAACCGGCACTTTCCGACTTCTTTTCCCTTTAATTTCAATGCGTTGAAAATGCTGACACAGCTTTTTCTCAAGTTGGGACAGTCCCAGAGCAATGTCAGAATGGATCCCAGTCTTACTTCTTAAGGTAAAGGCTGTCAGTGGCATCTTTGAAACCTCACCTTCCCTTCTTCGATTGAAAATGATGACCTCACAAAGAGTCAAAACTCCAGTTTAGACCAATGCTTAGACGTTGGCTCACTTATTAGGGTTTGCACATATTCAGGTCGACATACCTCAATATGTGCATGCATGGCTCTAACGTCCTCAGTCAGAGGGAGCAGGTCCGGAGTGTTCCACTTGGCTTGCCGGAGGGTCTGTAGGGCAGCAGAAGAAACACAGACGTCCCACCTCTTCTCAAAAAGCAGCCGGCTTCGTTGGAGGTTTTTAATAAATAGTTCATCAACACAATGCTCCATTTTTGAGTCACATTCAAGAATATCTGCTAGCTTTCTGAGGCTATGGCCGAGTTTGAGGGCCAAGGATGGAGTCTTGTATTGATTTGTTTCCTCATCATATCCAGCCACAGACCTGACTGCATCAATCACATGGTTAAAGTTGGAAGGAATAAAGAAATCCTTAATTGTTTTCAGTTTCCCTGCGGTTTTTGCTTCGTTAATTAACCTACCGACTTCTCTCATTTTCTGCCTAATGTAATCATGCTTTGTCTTATCATGCCCGTGTTTTAAGTACAGGTGCTCTCCGAGTCTCAGAATCCCCTTTTCTGCTTTGACAACACCCGTGACCTCATCCTGATGCATTGCCGAAATTAAAGACCACAGCTTTTTGCTGATGCCCTCCGGTACAGGCTGGGCTAGGGAGCAGAGGGACTGGACCCTACTTCTACCTGGTTTAGCCTGGGCATCTTTCTGTGAAAGCCGGCACCTGGCCACATGCCTCCACAGCGACTTTCGCTTAAGCAATGCCCCACAGTCTATACAGTGCAAAAACTCACTGGATTTAACTGGGGAATTTGGCTGTTTAGCTGGGACTAAAGTGCCAATGCCGGCCTTTAAAACCTCAAAATTGTGCTCACGGTTTCCACTATTCCTGATCAAATCAAACTGAAGTTTACGTGCTTTAGATTTCACAGGTAGAGCCAATGCTCTGGCTACGTCACTTTCATTTCCATGTTTTCTAGTCAAATGACGGGACATTTTGTGGCAGGACATTGAACAGTAGAGGCAGAAGTGTCTCTTGCTGTATACTCGCCCCCCATTTTTCTTCTTTTGCAGCTGCATGATAACAATCTTATTTGCCTTTGGTTCGTCACTTTCCGAGTCTTGAAGAAAAGTGTTTTTGATTTTTCTTTTTCCATACTTTTTTACAGGTTTCTTCTTGACAGTTAAATCGTCAGAATCTGAGTCGACTTCATCAATTAGGGACTCTTGACTAAGCTGCACAAACAACAAATAATTTGTAATCATTCTATATAACAATTTGAAGTCATGACTTGTAGTCAGCACTTACCAGTGGTTTGTAAGCGTGCGCTTCAGTGTGCTCCTCCATGATTTCTTGCAGCCTAATGAACCACACACTTGCACCTTTTTCTAGCCTGACACCTGATTTCCTCTGTTGTGCTGCTCCATGATTGGCTCCAGCCTGCTGGACTGAAATTGCCCCAGTGTGCCCCTCCTTGATATCCCGCAACCCACCACCAGGGTTCCGACACATAACACACTTTTTTCAGGAAAGTAAACCTCCAGGGGTCCTTTCCATATTTTTACAGAGACTGCATAAGGACCGTTAGAAAAGCATTACCCATTGATTATTAAGCTTGGACCAGTGGGG